TGTGCATGTCTCAGTTGTTCTCGCTCGTGACACCATCGCCGTTTCCATTGGCCCCCAGGACAGCAGAAGACTTATTTTTGAATGGCAGTGTGTAGGGCTGGCGGATGTTCACCCGGTCCTTTTCCGCCTCCAGATCTTCGTCATAGCGTTCTTCTTCGTCATTGTCCTCAGCCTCGCTGTGGTGGGGGGAAGAGTGGCGGGACAGAGCTGGAGACGGAGGCACAGAAGCTGGTCGAGGGTAACGGAAACCTGAGGTCTGAGGGCGAGAAACAAAAGGCACCAGAATCTCAATCAGTGGAGGTGTGTAAGGATTTGTGAAATAACAAATAGTGAAAACTTGACATTTCTGTCATCCAGTCACACGTGTTAACTTACCGAGGTGGGCTCATGAAGTTCATACATGTACGTGTCAGGGAAGGCTTTAGCCAGGGCCATATGACGGGCAGATATATAATACTAGTGCAGAAAACAAGAAAAAAAACATTAATCCATGTTTAAGTTGAACAATGATCACATGAACAAAATATTAGTTTGAGGTTTTGAATCTAACCCTGCCGAGGTATCTCCAGTCCAAGAGTTCGCTCAGACGCTCAGTCCGGTTCCTCTGGATGATCCGCTGGCGCCGGCTCTGCTTGCAAAACTGAAACAGGAAGGATGTGAGCTGGTTGCACGACTCGTCGACCCCTCGATACCGGCGGTCCAGGATGTAAATACCTGCAAAAAGAAACATCATGATGTGAAAGAAAGCATCGGTTATCCCTGCATATCTTTTTAGACATACTTGGAGTTAAACAGATAAAAGTATGAGAAACGCACCATATGCTGAGGGGTCTGCTATGTGCTCCTCCATGAAACAGCCAAAGCCTGACAGGTTAGTTGAGATTGATGGAATTCCCATGACTGTGCACTCAGCTGACGGTGAAAGAAACAGTAAGGCCCGATTAATAATTTTGATGTAATACAACAAACCCACACACATAAATACACCTCGTCAGCATGCATGAGTCATACCTGGTGTGTAGCCCCAAGGCTCGTAGTAAGAGGGGAAGACGCCGAGGTGGCAGCCTCTTACAAACTCCTCATAATCCATTGGAAGTAGAGGAGAGGTGGACGAAAGGAACTCAGGATGGAAGATAACCTAAAGGAGGGAGAAGCCATTCAGTACGAGTATTTACTATAGCAAACAGTACGAGTAGCAAACTGCAATTCTCGGCCACAACATGGCGCATTAAAACGTCACAATGTGGAATGATAATCACTGCAGAAACTTAAATCATCTACACATTTGATATATTATAGTTAAGTTTAGAATGCCTTTAAATGTACAAAAAGGTGAGAAGAAATACTTTTGTGGGCATTTATGGACCGACAGCTGAACTTACCTTGACACGGTCAGCAGAGCTGTTGAAAAGGCCGATACGGCGGACACAGTTGAGGATGGGGTCGCTGCTGTCGTCCAGCATGTTGTGGGTGCAGACTGGAGGCTGGCATGTTCTCTGAGTCGCGAAGATGGCACGCTTCATTATGGTGAAATCCTCTTTGTCCAGCATTTTCGCCACATCTGGCAGTTGCCCACTGATGAAGACAGGTTGTTTTAGACTTGTAAAACGACTACAATAGAATATTTTGTACAGAATCTGAATATCTCTCTCTCTGTGTCATATATATATACATACATATATACATACATACATATATACATACATATACACATATACATACATACATATATACATACATATACACATATACATACATACATACATACATATACACATACATATATACATACATACATATACACATACATATATACATACATACACACATATACACACATACACACACATACATACATATACACACACACATATACACACACACATATACACACACATACACACACATACACACATACATGCATACATATACATACACACATACATACACATACATACACACATACATACATATATATACATACACACACACACACACACACATATATATA